GTATCTGGCTATATCTATGTCTTTTAAATATATGTATTAATTCAATAAACACACAACAAATAAGAGATGTAAGGGGTATCTAATACTGTGAAACTATATACATTTTATATATAGTGTCACATACTGATTTTGGATAGTGGATTACTCCTCTAGTCTCCTCCAACCCTCATTGCCACTGCTGACAAAAGAACCTAGGGGAAATGTTTTTATCAGCAGCTATGTCATATACAGCAACCTTTGGCTGCAAAGCTTCTGAACTGACTTTGTGTAACCTACGCAAGAACTCAAAATGTTATACAGCAATGGCTGCTGAAGACCAAAGCTGCATGCCCCCATATTGACCATTACACAGTTGATAATCCAGTCTGTGCAACGGCGAGAATCTGAGGCAACGCTGCTTTTTACTGTACTGTACTGCAGCTCTTCATAGTTGAAAGATCCAGGGATTTCAGAAGTGCTCTGAACAGAAATGCTTCCACAATATTGCTTTGTTAGGCCATGAAGTTTCCATTTTCCTTAAACAACCTCAGTTATCAATGATAGTAGGTCAGTCTGTGTTGCAGGCATGCTGTTTGCAATAGAAAGATAGAAGTGGAAATGTTTTTTTTTTTTACAAAATAGATTCTTGATTTACAGTAAATGCTAATTTAAAAATATAGATAGATATTGAACAATTTAAAGAAATCTCTTTCATGCCTATAACCAATATATCTTGATAGTTTCCTTTTATAGTTTCTTTGTATATACACATGGGTACACTATGCACCCAAAGTATTAAAGCCTTCAAGCAGAATGAAAAACCACAGACACACAACACTCTGTACTATACGTGTGATGTACCTATATGTGTGAACAGACATACACTTTAGGTCATATTTTCCCAGAGCTTAAAGTGTCCCATCATAAGTTGTGTTCTCACATAACCCAAGTCTGTGTTGCCTGTAGTCTTAATGTGTCCCCCTCTCACCCTGTTTTTGAGAAGAAGAGACCATGGAGGCTCTTACAGCTGAATACGAGGAGGAGGTGGAAGAGGAGGAGGAGGAGGAGGAGAGTGCAGAGGCACCTGAGTCCGAGGCAGCTCTTGATGAGCAGCAGTGGAGCGGGGAAGAGCCTGAGCTGGACAGCCCCCAAGCTGAGCCCTTAGAGCAGGCAGAGGCCATAGACGAGGCACAGGATCTAGACCTGGAGCCAGCCGAAGCAGCTAGTGCTGCTGCAGAAAGCTCTATGGACAGGGAGGAGGAGGAGGAAGCAGAGGGTGAGGAGAATCCTGAGACAGGTGTGTCCTGCCCTCTGCTCTCCTTGCCTGCATGTTACTGCATTGTCCACTGTATAAGAACGCCAGATGTGTCAAAAGGAACCCATAAGCATATAACATAAGCATTATAATTCAGGTGGAATGGCAAGTAATGCTCCCTGCGCTCTGCTGTGGCTGCAAGGCAACACAGGCTTGTTGGTGAAAAGAGTCACATTCTTTTAACTTTACCTGATTTTATTGGGTTCTATCTTTGCGCTTGTATTTTCTTTTCTTGCTGTGGTTTTCGGGGCCGGCCGTTTCGTATTGGTATGATGAAGTGAAGTGTTGCTGATTGTAACTGTGCTTTTTTTCACTCGCTATAAGCTTACGGGTTTCTCATTATGTTTACACATGGCTTGGTGCTGGTATGCCAGTGCTGCACACTTTTTGTAACCATGAATCATACTTGCTATTAAATGTGGATCACTCATATATTGTTATCGTAATTCTGTGTACATAATTTGCGAGGGATTTTGTGTTGGCTGTCTCATGTTAAGTGTGGTATAGTTGTCTCATCAAATACATTTTTTGTCTGCAAAATTCCAGTTCATTTGTTTGTTTGTTTTTTGGCACTGTTAGTGACAGTTTATGGCACTTCTCTGTCATTCACCAGCAAGATTCTTCTCTGTTTAAGCTAATATTGTTTGACATACAAAAGTCATTAGCCAAAATTTATTTGATGTTAATGGAACAGATTTGAACTGGTCAAATTCTCATAACATTCTGTTGTACTTACAAAGAATGACAGAGATGCTAGGTCTATTTGTTTTGAAGAGTCGCATGGATATCCATTCCATCTATTACTGCTTGTTTCCCATAAATCAGCACCACAGTTGCCTCATGCCGGTTCCATCACATACCATGCCATATTCTCATCCATTTGTGACTTGGTGGACCCCATAATCTCGCCGTACTTCTTCATTGATGGCCGTATCATTGTGCTGTAAGTTTCTGAGGAGAGCTTTGCCTGTTACTGTGATAAAAGCTTTCCTAATCCCTTGCTTAATAAATATGTCATTTGCAGCATGCCAAAGCATTACTTTTCTATAGTGATCAAAACAGCCAACTTACAGATGTCCTTTCAGCTTTGAAGATGGACTCAGACAAGCAGGGCAGCGAGAAAAGTGGTTCCATGAGCCCAGACAGCATTGGATCGGAAAAACGACCAGAGGAGTTTTTTGAGCCTCAGATCCAAGGGTTCTTTGCTGGTGAACGAGTTGTACCAGAGAGCCCCACCATGGATATGCCATCATTTGTACCCCCAAATGTTCAAAACCAAGCCAAAGAATCTGCCAGATCACTCACACTACAGCCTGCATATGGCGAGCCAATCACGGTGTCAGAGAAACAGCCATCAGTGGAAGTGGTGGAAGTCAGCAGCATCAGTGGGCCCTCTGATTTCTCTTCGTTGGGAGACAAAGTTGAAGGAGGAGACTCAATGAGAGACGGAAGTGACAGATCTGGCATGTCAGCATATTTTGAAACATCAGCCATGGAGGTTGATGAGGCTCCCCAATGTAAGGGTGAGGGTTATTACGAACTGAGCACAGCTGGTGAAGAGAAGAGTACAGTTGAATCCAGGCCTCAGGAGATCAGCTACAGCACATTAGCTGAAGCCCAGGATAAACCCGAAACAAAAAAAAGTACATCAGAAAACAAAAGTTTGTTCACAGTTCCTGATAGGAGTAATGAATGCAGGCTTTCACCGGGTAAACTAGCCCTAGAGCAGAGGAGTTACTCACTTAACATCACCATTGGAGCAATGGATCAGAGTGGGCAAGGCAGGCCTAGGATCTTCTCCCCACTGGCCACAGATATCATGTCTTACACAAGTGGAAGTCTAGATGAATCAGCAGACTACCTCCCAGTCACTACACCCTCCGTGGATAAGCCTCAATCCTTCCCTCCCCTGATACTGGAGACTGCAGCTTCCGTCACCTCAGATTCGTCATCTCCTCCAAGAACCACTGAACCAGTTTCAAAACCCAGCTCTGAACCAGACTCTCCGGAATCACCACAGCCTCCTAGGAGCACCTATAAAAATGGCACAGTGATGGCGCAAGATTTGCCTGAGATGCTGGACCTTGCTGGGACCCGTTCCAGACTAGCATCAGAAAACACTGACCCAGAAATCATCCGGAGAAAGTCAATTCAAGCTGATCTTCCTGCTTTTGGTGATGACCCACTAGCTAGCCTAGTTTCTGGGGAACAGAGTCCCGGGGCCAGAAAGAGTGAAAGCCAGCTGGAAGAGATGGGCTATTGTGTCTTCAGTGAATATTCAGGGCCTATGCCATCCCCCGCAGATGTGTTCAGCCCTACAGACACTTCTGCACAGGTCTTCACGCACTCTGTTCTGGAGGAGAAAGTGGCTGAACAGGCTAGGAAATTAGCAGTCAGAGACACATCTGTGGAGGACAAGAGCCAACCATCAGAAGTTCCTGATTTTACTGAAGAGAAAGACCAGAGACAAGTAGAAAGAAAAGAATCTGCTGAAGAAAAGGACAAGGAAGTTGCAGATGATCAGCCAAATAAATCTGTAAGTGAGTGGCCACCTGCTCAACCAAGTGAGACTTTTGTGACACCAACAGTCACTGTGACTCTAGAAGAAGGCGGGAGGTCAGGGAGTGAGACTGAACGACAACCAGTGGTGAAGGCTCAGCATCAGAAACTGAGATTGCAGACTATGAGAGGCAGATCCGCAAATTGGAGATGGAGGACAGGCCTCTTAGTCTGGAGGAGGAAAGAGAACTGCAGGAGCTTCGGGAGAAGGTGAAGCTGGTCCACCAGGAGGCCTATGAGGAAGTGGATGCCGAAGATGTGTACCAGCTGACCGGTGTAGCCAAGGACCGAATTGCCAGGCCTGTCAAAACTTCACCTGCTTCGTCTGTGGAGAGCAACATCGATGATGACAAGCTGCTCTCACCGGTGCTCTCACCTTCCAAGCTTAAACAAAGAGAAGTGTACGGTTCCCCTAAAAGAGTGGCTTCACCAGTGTTAGGAATAAACAAAGAGGAGAAAGAGAAAGAGGAGTCAGAAAAAAAAAGGAGGGAAGAGCAAGAGAAGGAAGCAGCTGAGAAGAAAATGAAAGAAGAGGCAGAGAGGAAAATCAGGGAAGAGGCAGAAAAGAAAGAAACGGAAATGAAAGAGACGGAGAGAATACTGAGGGAGGAAAAAGAGGAGAGAGAGAAGAAAGATAAAGAAGACAGAGAGAAGAAAGAAAGAGAAGAGAAGGCAATGAAGGAGCAAGTGGAGAGAGAAAGGAATGAAGGAGAGGAAAAAGAAAGAATAGAGAGAGCGCTGAGAGAGAAGGAAGAAAAAGAAAAGCTAGAGAGGGAACTAAAAGAGAAGGAGGAGAAAGAGAAGCTAGAGAAGGAACTAAGAGAGAAGGAGGAGAAAGAGAAGCTAGAGAAGGAACTAAGAGAGAAGGAGGAGAAAGAGAAGCTAGAGAAGGAACTAAGAGAGAAGGAGGAGAAAGAGAAGCTAGAGAAGGAACTAAAAGAGAAGGAGGAGAAAGAGAAGCTAGAGAAGGAACTAAAAGAGAAGGAGGAGAAAGAGAAGCTAGAGAAGGAACTAAGAGAGAAGGAGGAGAAAGAAAAGCTAGAGAAGGAACTAAAGAGAAGGAGGAGAAAGAAAAGCTAGAGAAGGAACTAAAAGAGAAGGAGGAGAAAGAGAAGCTAGAGAAGGAACTAAAAGAGAAGGAGGAGAAAGAGAAGCTAGAGAAGGAACTAAGAGAGATGGAGGAGAAAGAAAAGCTAGAGAAGGAACTAAAAGAGAAGGAGGAGAAAGAGAAGCTTGAAAAGGAACTGAAAGAGAAGGAAGAGAGAGAGAAAGTGGCTGAGATGGACAAAAAGCCTGAGGAGATAGAAAGACAGCCAGAGGGGAAAGTAGCCATGCAGCCTGTGGAGAAAAAATCTGAAAAACCAGTTGGGGCTGACAAGGAGCATGAGGAAGGTGAGCAAGACATGTTAGAGAAAGCAGAGACAGGGGCAGAGGCAGCAATGGTGAAGGAGATCCCAGAGACTCGCGCTGCCATCGAATCAGTGGTGACAGTTGAGGATGATTTTATCACTGTGGTCCAGACCATCGATGAAGCAGAGGAGCCGGGGCACAGCGTTCGTTTCTCTGCTCCGCCTGAGGCTGAAGCCCTTTGTGTCGTTGCCCAGGAGGAGGAAGAGGAGGAAGAGGAGGAGTCTGTGGAGTTGGCCCAAGAAGCAGACATGGAGGCTGCCAGTCTAGAGGATGTTCCTGAGACTCCTGCCTCCCCAGAGAAGGCCGCTCAAACAGTAGAAACCGAAGGTCCGACAGAAAGCTACGACAGAGATGAAACCACAATGGACGACTCCATCCTGGACAGCTCCTGGGTTGACACACAAGGTGAGATCTCTTTCATGGTTTCTTCCTTCATATTGTTCTCTTTTTTTCCCCTTTCTTACCTCTTCTGCTTCAAGAGCACACATTTAATACTGTCTCATGGTTTTCATGTACTGTTTTGCCACACTGCAGATGATGATAAGAGTATGGCAACGGAGCAGATTGAGCCTTTGCCCAAGATGTCCACCCCAGTCAAACCATCTGCTGTGGTCCAGAACAAGCAGGCACAACAGAAAAAGGCAGAGAAACTGGAAAAACCTGTAAAACCAAAGGTTAAGGGAGGGCGGGCTAAAGGCCGAATCTCCACACCAGAACGCAAACCTGTCCGCAAAGAACCTGTCTACATCCCCAGAGAGGAAGTCAAGAAGAAAAAAGGTTGTCATGATTTGTTTCCCTTTCCTTAAACATTTTTCATAGTTGAAATAGTAGTTGTTTCTTTTTTCCTGTCCATTGAGAAAAGCCATTTAAGGCTTGACATCAAATTGTGCCTAACAGGGCCTTTCTGCTGTTCTAAAAACCCAGCGTTGTGTGATTTATTGCTTACCTATACAGCTGTTTGTGTCAAAAAATGTGCAGTTTTAATATCTCACTGACACAGTGATTTGAGTCAGCTGTTTTTAGTAGAGTTCAACAAATACAACAACTGAAAAGGGTTTCTGGGGATTTTATTATACGCAGCAGTCCATATTTTAACATGGTTCAGCATCTGTCTGTTCTTATTGTTGTGTTTGCTTTTGTCGATGGCCCTGTTTCCTCTGATAATGTAGCTGTGATAAAGACGACTGAGCTCACCAAAAAAATGGAGACTCAGACTCAATCCCCATCCAAGAGGAGTTTGATGAAACCAGCCATCCGCCAGAACCGCCCCACCCAGCACCACTCCTGTCCTAGGAGGAGACACACAGGTGACACTTTGACTTGCTTTCTGCAGGAGAGCCACCAGGATACCAGCTCCCACCACATTTTACCTGCATCGTCAGCTTCAATTTGGTTTTGTTATCCATTTCGTTTTATTGGTTAAAGTGGTTTGTCATTCTTTGTTTTGATCACAATAAAAACTGACCTGCATGTGTCATTTGGTGTCTTTTCTTTTTTGTTTTTGTGAGGATTTGTTCTTTAAGAGCAACTTAACACCAAGCTGAAAGCATTGTATCAAAGACGTCCTGTATTTGGAAGCTTGTGATTTCAGGATTCACTGAACACTTTACAAGTACACTTCTACATCACTACAGCAAGGTCAGCAAAACAAGATTTTCCGCTAGTGTTAAGTTACTCTTTAAATGCATCGTTCCTTTCTTTTACCATTTCCAGCTAATTGTTTTTGTGTGTGAGTGTTGCTGTGTCACATTAACATACTAATACTTTATGGAATTATTCCACATATTTTAAAGGTTGTCAAGTTGTTTGGTGTGAAAGACATATAAAATGTTTCTAACCCCTACGGTCTTTTTAGGAATTATATATCCACTCAAGCTTTTTTTAACCTATGGTTGCCAGGCAACTAGTAATCAATGGTTTTGTTCTATGGACTTGATACTATAAACACTCACTGTCCCAGCAGCAGTCTGTTCTTCATTTTCAGTCTGTTCTTCATTTTCCCCTGACGGACTGAATTCTGTGTCACTGATGATGAAAGCTCAGTATACTGCTGCATTGCCCCAATTAGATTATTTTCCAGGGTTGCCTTACATAATACAAAATCCCCCATTCTGTGTGATATCTTGCCAAATCTTTGCAGAACAGAGCTCTTAAGGGGGGCGGCGACTCGCTCCCACTGAATATTCGATTTGTCATATAGCTTACCATGCAAGGTTTGGGAATACAAAGTTATATTTTATGTTTCTATATTTTTGAGAACCAAATTTGCTCACAAGGATAAAAATGTGACGACAAGTGGGAGATTTAAAAGGCTCTTTCTTTCTTCCCCTCCCATGTATAAAGGTTAAAACATGTATTCAGTCTGTGTTCTAATATTCCTTTAATTCTGTCACTCTTTCAGAGACGCTACCAGACAGTCGTCAGCCTCTCAGTGTTGCCAGACAGTCTCGCGACAGAGCATCGGTGAGTATACTCCACCAGCCCAATAATGGCCGACCAAGTAGGTTTGCACTAGAGCAACTAAATAAACATCAATCAGGACAAACTGACACTGAAGAGAGAAAAACTTTCTCCTAAACAGCAAGGACACCAGAAAACTGGACTCTCCAACATTAGATCTGCTATCACTTTTTGGTGACCTTTGGTATAAAGAGAACAGAAAGGTTGGTAAACATAAGCATGTTGTGCATAGTTCAGTGATGCATAATAAAGTTAAACAGATTTCAGACATTTACCTCTCTCTACCAATACACCAGTACACACTAATGTACAAGTTGCCACATGCATCTTTAGTGCAGACACTAAAACGATAAACATTAATTAGGCAGAATAATTATCACTAGAATTAAAAGCTGTTGCTTATTTTCTCTTGCGACTTCCAGAGCAACCTAATCATCTATTTAGATAAACACATTACATACTGTTTAAGCGAGCACTGTCTCCCCACTGTATTTCTAAGCCCTAATCCCCAGTGCATTGCATTTCTGTATTAAATCACTGTTAGTTTCCCTTTTTTATGTTATGAAAAGATATTTATGTTGGTTGCTTTTGCTTTTTGTAAAATGTTTACTATTGTTGCCTTGTTTAATGGTTTTTGCTCAAACAGGCAAGCCAGATCCATTTAGTGTTTTTTTTTTTTATTGAGTGGGTGTTGAATCACCCTGTGACATTTCTCCAGCGGCTGTGGTCGTGACTCCATTTTACTCCTCCACCTTAGTAATGACAGTTATTGTGTCTAAAATAACACAGTTTCTGCATTTCTTAAATGTCATGTCATTACAGCATACTGTACGTGTATTCTGTAACTTTGAGCCCACATTATATTTCACTGCAGTGTAACATGAAATCTTGCATGAGCATGGTGTCCTTCCAGTATTCTTTTTGTTTGTTGTTTGGCATTTTGATGTCATATATTTTTAATTTGACACTGACATGTTCACAACAAATATGCATGAATCACTATTGTGATGGGCTATGATTAAATGCTATGCACACAAGATCTGATGCTAATACGTTATTCTTCATCCGGCAAAGGATACATCAGATCTTGTGCACTGATCATGCATGTTAAAGCACTGTTATTTTCACCACTCTTTTGTCACCTTTTGTCCTGCCATGCGACTCACCCACTGGGCTTCATCGTTGTACCATCTCAGTGCCATGCCCATCGTTTGCCATTAACAAAGATCCCCACCTCCATATCCAGACTGGCTGCCTCATTAGATAGACCTCGCCCATCCTCAGCAGAACCTCTAGGCTCCCCAGTATTACAGAGACCCATAGCCAAGGTAGGTGAAAGGTAGAGCGACACTGTATCTGTAGGAGTCCATAAAGAACATAACAAACATGTACGTAACTTTTATTTTGCAGTATTGCCCACCTAAACCTGTTGTTTGACCTTTCAGTAAAAATAAATCACAGCCTCACTGGCCAAAGGATCTACTTCTTGTCTCTGGTGTTTGTTTCCCAACAGGACGGTGGGTCATGGAGCCCTGACACGAGGTCCTCTCTGCCGCGGCATGCCTCCATTCTGAGTCGCCGTGGATATCACGACCAAGAGGAGAGCTCCACCTCCATCACCAGCTCCGGCTCCACGGCACCTCGCAGACCCACATGTAGGCTGCAGCTTCTCTAATCAACTAATACTTCACAAAGTATCTGTATTTATGTTGGATTTTAGATGCCCGATTTCCTTGTTAGTCTCTGTTTACTTAGCTACTGTAACTCAGTGGGTTTCTTTCATCTGTCTATCTGAGAAGCTAACAACACATTCATGGGGTATTACGTACTGTACTGTATGTGTGTATCTCCTCCTGTACTAGAAAGTAAAGTTTGAAAACCTCAACAAAAATAATATATTTTTAGCATTCAACAAGATACTATATTCCATGAGTCCTTTAGTGTATAAGTGCTATTGTGTATCAGTGTTAGTGTGTTTTAATGGGAGCTATATGTAGTCAAAATTCTGCTCGTAAAAATGCCAAATATTTTTCAGATTTTATATTTCATTCCAATTTAGCTGAATATCTGCACTAGGCCATGTACATTATCTTGCTTGGCTCATTCCATACTAATTAGACAACCATCTGTCTTTCTCTTATTCCCCACCTCTCTCCACCCCTTGTTCACCATCTCTGTGCAACTGTTATTGATGTTCTATTAACAACCTGCCTTAAGCACAGATTCTGGTGAATGCATTTGCAATTGAACATCCAAGAACCCCTGGTTTGTCCCTTTCTTCTTTCTCTCTTCCTCCTCATAATGTCCATCACTAAATCTGAAACTTTCCCTCTTTTGCCTACTGTAGCGTTTCGCCCAGAGATGAGGGCAGAGCATAGGACAGGACGAGCCCCTAGTATGACAGGTAAAGGGGATTCTTCATACTTACTATTTATTGTTGGGTTACAGTATTGGATTTCAAACATTTTGATAGGAGATTAATATCTCAGTGTCATAACTACTGTATATCTGTAAAGTTCTTGTTACGAAACATTTAATGGTCTGAAAAGTGACTTTTAAAAGCCTAAAATCTCAGCATCTGATGACGTAATCTAGCCTCTTTCATACTAATCATCAACCCTTTCAACTTTCCACCCCACATACAACAGTGTTTTAGACTTTAGACACAGATATCAGCTACATTAATTTGAAAAAAAAAAATTCTATAAATATTTTCTAGGACAATTAAAATAGTAGGACTTTATAATAGAGCACCAAATAGTTCCAAACCATCATCCCTATGTTCCTCCCCACTAGTTACAGAAACAGTGCGCTCCCGTTCAGCTCGCAGTGGCCACTCAACCCCCCGCACCCCTGGCTCCACAGCGATCACCCCAGGAACCCCTCCCAGCTACTCATCTTCCTCAAGGACCCCTGGAACCCCACGCTCCCTGAGCTTGATTTCCCAGGAGAGGAAGGTGGCTGTGGTCCGCACCCCACCCAAGTCACCTGCAACCACTCCCAAGCAGCTCCGCATCATCAACCAGCCACTGCCTGACTTCAAGAACATCAAGTCCAAGATCGGCTCTACAGAGAATATCAAGTACCAGCCTAAAGGAGGACAGGTGACGCTCTTCTCCTTCATTTCCTCCCCAAACCTTTAGCACCTGTCAAACTATTTGCTTTTTTTTTTTTTTCACCTCTGCAATGTTGCATTCCTACTTTTTACTGGTTTTATAAATAAATGGAGACAGACACCAACCTTGTCTCTATGTATAAAGAAAAGAATCAGTAGACTATATACCATTCGTATGCACTGAGGCCAAATATCCTGGTATGAATTTTACTGTAAAATGTCTAACATCTTCTGGATTTTTTTCTGCCCTGACATGTTGATTTCCCATGGCCCCTCTCTCCTACCTCTCCACACTCATTGTCTTTTTTTAGTCTCTTAGCTTTGTAGCTTTGTTTTCTCTTAGCTTACCTCTTTCCACTCTTAGTCCTTCTATCATCCTGCTGACTCACGAGTGTAAAAGAGCGACGAGTTAAAAAGGAATGGTGCCTTGTGGTAGACAAAAATGTATTTCTTGCAACCATTTCTTAAACATAGAATGTGCTGAATTGATTAAAACTTAAAAAGTAATGAAAAATATAAGAATTTTGAAAATGTTTTCTTAACTTACAATGCATTAAATTCTTGTGCAAGGGAAAGAAATACTGAGTTTCTTAAGCCTTAAAAATCTGTACAGGTTTATGGGAATGATTAGGCCGCAATGTTTTTAAAGCACACTTATTAATATAAAAGTATAAGATATATAAAAATATAAGAGAGTCAAGTGCGTAGCAGGAAATTGTGAACCAAAGCAGGACTAAACAGTGAGAAATACCAATTTAGATTTGTCAAATGGCAAGAAGAGGGCTCCAAAGAGCTGTCCATGTTGATCTGTGTCTGATGGATATACAGTATACAGAAGTAAGCAGGTGTTTAAGAACACATTATAGCCATAGGCAGGCTATATGCTATCAAGGTTCTGTTACTGTGAGGTTGGAATAGAGTCTTCTAAAATCTGCTCAAATCAGCTTTAACATCATTTAGATGAAACACCAAAAGGCATCAGTGTGCCTCAGTTCTCTGGCTGTGTCGCCATCCATTCATCAACACTACTGATCCTCAGGATAAAAACTGAGATGGAGATTTTTTTTAGAATAATTTGACCATAATTTTTTATGCAGACAAGATTGCAATTAAAAATCTATAGTCTACATGATGTCAAATATGTTGTAAATATGCTGTGTCTTAAGTGTCCCAGATTTCAATACAAACAGAAAAGTGACATGACTTGACATCTCAGTGAGTGTCAAAACTGTGAGCAGTATTTGTCCCTTCAGTTTCCCCCCAGCTCTGTGAACTGAGGACAGCGCTCCAGCCTACAGAAATCTGCATTTCAAATCATGTTTTCTGTTGCTGCACAGAATCTGCATTAGCAGGTTGTTTGGGAGTGTATCCCCTACAGTTTGACAAATATTGTGTTCCGCTTTGAGTCTGAAACACTGAGTCAGTGCTGCAGCAGGACGAATAGTGATGAAAACAGCAGTGTGTCTGTAGCCATCAGCTCTTACAGGCCTCGGCTGATGACCTGATTAGGAGTGTAAGCGTTTGGCTGACATCTTTATGACTTGCCAGGTCTCTGCGCTACTCTGTGCAGCCAGCCACAAAATAGGGAGGGATCATGCTCCGAACGCCTGCCTGTCATCTACAGGAGACATGGCCTCTGTTGGGTTTTTGTGCATGTGTGTTTATGCGTGCAATGATGCATGCTGGGTCATAATCAGTTACTAAACTGTCAAGTCTGGCAGTGTTGTTCCTAAAGTCTAGTTTGGAGTGGAGGGTAAAAAAAAGTGTCAGGCAGGTTCACAGTTCACAACTTGCATCACGAATCTTAAAAGATTTTATTCTAAACTTTTTTTAGATCTGAAAGTTGTTGCCTGTTGTTTAATGTGAGCATTTGTGAGAGGTTGCCTTGACAACATAGTGCCATGTTGGAAGGCATTTTAGCTGTGCTTTTGTGGAAATGGTTGGGCAATGTTTGAGGGGGAATTTGATTTCTTTGTTTGTGTACCCTTGCCTGAGAACTTGTCACACTTTTTATGTATTATCTGTGTTATGTATTAACACGTGGTGTCCTTCACTTTAGGCAGTTGCTACCTAATGGGTTTTTTTATCCAGAAAACCTTCAGTGTCTTTACCCACAGCCCCCACAATGCGTGTGTGTGTGTGTGTGTGTGTGTGTGTGTGTGTGTCACCCCTGGGTGGCGGTGGGTGTCCCTTATCAGACACAAAACTGTGATGGCAGCTTTCAACTAAACACAGGGGTGAGTGTCTAGACAGAGCGGTTGTCCTGATTCCCCAGCTTCTCTTTGGCCACAAGTTAAAGTAATTTGGTTTGCCAGTTAAAGTTTATTTGGATTCAGAAAGAATCTCCTAAAACAAATTCTGCAATTTGTACCTTACATGTGGATTTAACAAAAGCAACTCAGGGATGCATATGTAACAAATTTGATTTAAAAGACAATAATAGAAATACAACAAAAGTAGTATGCATAAATTATTATCCCTATTGGGCCACTGTGGTTTATACCAATATAACAGCAGAAAGTATAGCCAGAGGATAATCCTACAGACATCATTAATGTGGGACCACATATAAACAAACCATATTTATGCACACAAAATATGATGTGCCATTTTATCTCCAAAGTGAGTTAAGCTGAACTTCAAATTGATGTCGCAATGAGGTTTATACAGTCCTTTTATGTTCAGAAGCAGAATGTGTAATTTTTATTTTTCCTTTTAATCTTTCTGCTGCAGTTGACAGAAATGAGTAGTTCATTTAGAGGTTTTAACACTGTTGCCACTAGATCAGATGCGTAAGGATAGCAGGGTGATAATCCCAATATATTCCTCTCTTGACCTTTAGTAGCTCCTAGCAGCTCCATGGTCCAAGTAGTTCCAATTTCCAAGCAGCTGTAGTGAGCCCCTCCCCCCTACCCATAGCAGGCCTCTGCCCGGTCACTGACCTGTCCCATTAATTGTCCTTATAGAAGTACAAGGACCAAAATATGCCAACAGAGTCCAAACACAAGGCCTCTTGGATCTGGAAGTCAGTGCTTCGCCTCATCTCTTTTACTCTGTATCTCTCAGCGGCACACGATGTGACCTGGACCCAAGACCTGCTGGTACACCTCAGCACTGTTAATTATGGTGCCATGTGTTTTGTTGAGCCTGGACAAGAGTGCGCCACTGAAATAATTAAAAAACTTTAACATTGTTTAATTTTAATCAATGAATTCATAGATACATTTGAAAGACTATTCTTGATTAATTGCATTTGCAATTTAATGAGGCATTAATAAAGTCATATATAGAAAATAATAAAAAGAAAACATTAAATGAAATCATTTAATTTACCAAGTTGGAATTATTTGAATTTTGTAATGTTAAATTAAGTCCAACCCACAGAGTGTCAGCAGGAGCTGTTTGGTCAGCTGTTGTTGAAAGGAGTCACGCATGGGATCATGCCTGCTCTCTGGGTTAGAGGTTTTTAGGTGCTCACACATGTTTAAAGAGGTCCATCTTCAAATAAAGTGCTCATCAAATAGAAACGGTACATGTTGAGGTAAATGAAATGCATCACCACAGATAACTGAAGTCAATGATTAACTGGAGTTGTTGGATGATTGATGTTTCCAAAAACTTGGTGTATTTGTTTTTAACAGATGTAAGAATAATACCACATTTATAGAAAACCATTAGTCATTAGTGCACATGCTCATGATCTCTAACACCTACTTGCTAATGCACTGTACATACGATATATGCACACACACACATACACACACACACACACACACACACATCAAAACTCAATTAATACTCAGCAGCAGTAAAGACCAAGTAATTTATCTACATCAAACATGTTCTAAAATATTGTACATCAGTGTCCTCTATAGTCTCTTCCATCTTCCCATCCACCATATAAGAGGCCCAAACTATCTCTGTATTTCTCCATAGATTCATATTTTAAACAAGAAGCTGGACTTCAGTCACGTACTGCCAAAATGCAGCTCCAAGGAAAATCTGAAGCACTCTCCCGATGGAGGAAATGTATGTACCCTTCTGTCATGACCAAGTGTTCTCTTCCCTCTTGATCCCTAAATGGAGGAGGAGTATGAAGACCATAATTTAATTCTAGTTTGTTCCTACTGTATATTTTTATTTAAATCCAATTAAGTGACATGCAACAAGTGTATTTTGTTGTGCTGTGAAAATCTGGATAAATGGCTACTGCAGCTTGATGGTTTAGTATCATAGCACCTTAGTTTGTCCCTAACCTGCACTCCCTGTTTTCCCACTGTAGTCGGATTCTTACCCTTGAACCTCATATGTAATTCACTGTCTATCTTTTCACCCTTTCCCTATCACTTTTAAAGTTTAGCTTTACAATTGTTCTTTTAAGCGTTGTTTTACTCAAATACACACAATCTGCCAATGAAAACTGGTCTGATGTTAGCCACCTTTTTGTTGTGAGAGAGCAGTGCCATAAAACTCAAAATAACCCAACTTCTTGGCACTAAGTTGGCCTCATGGTTAGAGGGAGCCAGATGACTAAAGCCATATGCTGGCAAACGTCTGCCCTGCTCAAATATCCTTGAGCAAGTTACTTTAAATCCTGCCACCTCCATCTAACAACTGTGGCTTGACCTCCCATTGGAGGGGGCTAAATAAGAGGGAAAGATTGCCTACAGAAATTGCTGTCATCATTTTTCTTTGGTTAGTTTCCCATTGATCCTTTTAATACTGTCTAGTTTTCTGTTTGGCAGTTAGTTGTCACTGTCTCGAGTTAAATCTGTTCGAAATTATATCTTTAATTTTGCTATATGTAAATTTTTTTTTTCTCCCTGCGAAAAAGGGAATAAATGCTCGCTTTCAGCATGAAGCGTGTCCCACAATTCACAGAAATGTGAGGTTTTATGGGTCTGATGCTATACCATCTAGAAAGAGCATTTTTGCTTAAATTTTGTGACATTAAATGTGTGAATCTTTTGCTGTCATGGTTCGCTTACAGTGCCGCACTGTTGTAGTCAAAGGAAAGAAAGTCCTAAAGCATTTATATTATATTTAATCAGGAGCAGATGAATAAACATCTGCCCCCATCATAAAGAAAAGGGCAGCATTTTTTGTGAAAATTAAACATCTCAAACAATTGTCATGCATAGCTTAATTTCTAATGTAATTTTACTGACACTAACATTCAGGGGTGGTTGCTCTTATCAACTCAAACTGAGGGCAATTTTAACACTTTGTTTCATTGGTTGTGAGCACTGGCTCAGTTATCAGACAAGGGCTCACTTATCAGACATTTTGCCAATATGTTGCTCACTCAAGGGAAGGCAACAACAGCAAACAATGCACTAATTGGCAAATGAATGCATGCTTAGTTAACCACCTGCAAACTGCTGAACAAAACTCAGTTCAAAACTTCCTCTTCTAGTTTGTCATATTTCTGTCTGGTACACTACGTCATATATACCTACAAGAGGTATTATGTACTCTCATTCTTGTTCTCATGAACACTTTCATTCTTAGTTACATTCAGTAGTGTTTTGGACACTGAGTAAGCCTTTTGCATATTTTTATAATGGGTGTACAGTATTTCAAAGCATCAAGTATTGCTTTGGTCCACTCAAGTTATCCCATCATGGTCTTGTCTCTCCTCTCCTCTCCTCTCCTCTCCTCGACAACTCTTAAGTCCTTTCTCCACAAAATGTGATGAATATGTATGTTTGTCTTTTTCCTATTCGGTGTAGTTCCCATTGCTTTTACTGTGCTCCTGGTTAAAGTGTAATTTTGTTTTGTTAGTGCTTTGTACTGTGCCAACTCTGCTGTGTCTACATCTCACTCCTGCTTTCTCTCCTTGCAGCTACAGAGAGCCATTTACCATCGCAGCACACTCATATTGTGTCATCCTCGCACCCTAAACTACTGATCCCAAGTGTTTGCTGCTTTTATTTTTCATCTATTTGGATGTTGAGTATGAACGCAGGAAGTGCAAAACCATGAAGTAAATTCTGGCAACTTATTCAAGTATGTTCTCGAGGAGTTGTCTCTTTTTGCGACACAGTGATGCCAAGATTTCCTGAAGGTTTTGCATTCCTTTATGCAGTCAAAAACACATTATAATTGCAGCAATTACTCAAAGCTGATGATACTCCACACCAACTAGTTTTGGCTTCAACTTTAGCGCCATTTGTTACGGGGAATCCAGTGTTTTAAAGTATGATCTACCAGAAACTGAGACCAGGTTTGGCACATTAACCAGGCTGACTCTAATGTGTCAAAACTCACACTGGGAGACATGTAGTGAGATGAATATGTCTTGCCTTTTCATTTAAAGTCACTGTATCCATTGAATGATGTTTGTCCAGAGCAAAACAGGGGAACCACTAGGTCAAATATTTCCGTCTACAATCCAGTCAAACAAACTCAGATGTCAATGACGGAATATTTAAACAGTGGGAGGAAACTAACTGTTTAAAATGAAGTGCCATGCCAGAAAGCCCGAGCCTTTTCCCACCTCATTCCTCACCTCCGCCCCTGCAGGTTCTCATCCCTACTGTTAAGCTGGACTATAGCCATGTTCAGTCTAGGTGTGGGTCCTTGGACAGGCGGGGCTACTCGGCACGAGGTGGAAACGTGAGTCTTGTGCCGCAAGTCCATTGTCTCAGTGTTATTTCTCTGTTGTGTTGTGGGTTTTTTTCTTTGTGTATTGCATTTTCCTTTTCCACCTTGCTTCACAGTTTCCCAGTTCATTGTCAAGTCACTCGCTCATTAAGGCAGCAGTGCTGGTGCTCTTTAGTTGACTTCTCTTGATAGACACTGCATTCTCCGGTCGTGGTTTGTGTCCCGCGAGGAATTTACAATACTCAAGGCTGAATGTTTCCCCCTCCGGCACCTGATAACGTTTTGGACTCTAGCAGTGTTCTTCTGCCTGTGAGGGTACCAGCGTGCTTTTGTGCAGGCACAATTCCATTTTGCACAAAAAGTGTGCTCTCTTCGTGGCTCTTTGGGAATTTGGTGACTCACTGTGCACCACAATTGGAGGAAAGAAACATCAGGGAGGTGTTACTGGTAATCCGGCAGTGCACTGTAATTTTGCATTTTGCACTGTCCACTGCCTGCCAGATCAGAGAAGGTCAACAGTGCACTACTCCCATGTTCTGTGATTTTTCAGTCTAATTGGTGGTGGCACACTCTTAAAGGCTTAAAATCACAAAAAACAACTTTTATTCATGTTTTGTTTGTGTGTTTAACTTTTATTATACATTAGTCGGAATGTAAACTATCTAAATCTAAATGCATAGAGAAAGACTCAAGATCAACATCTCCCATCCAGCAGGTAGCATGCTGCGTGAAGCACTTCCCTCTGAAGTTGATTAACTCCTATGACAGCCATCTGAATGTGGCTGTTATAGTGTGTAAGAATCTGCAGTCTCTGGGACAACAGAGACGTGTGTCAACTTTTTTCCAAGAAGTTTAGACTAATTTTAATAAACCTGACCGGACATTTCCCTTCCTGTCAACCTGCAGTACCAAAACCAGTACTAGATATTTTTTTTATAAATCATGCAACAAAAAATCATCTTAGGAATGAAAAATATTCCAACAGTACAATGGTTAGTTTTATGTTAATGTTTTATGTGAACAATGTTCATAGACTTCATAAAGAAATGATTACTGGGGAGAATCTGCAGCCTAACGTTCAACCACGCTGACACAAACCACGTCTCATCTCTGACTTTAAACCCCATGCTGTACACCAAATCATATGTCACAAAAGACCAACCAAATCGGTGACGTGGCAAAGTGATTGCTGACCACAGGTGTGATTCATCTCCGGACGTGGTGTATCTCTTCTTGTTCATCGTGCTGTGTCTAAAGCTCTATAGCTCCGCTCTGTTTGCTGTCTCATCGGTTCACTCCTTACATATCTCTCTGTGGTTTTCTCTTCAGATCCCCCAGGGTGTGTCACATAACTGCATATCCTTATCCCCTCTTTGCCTGTGGCCTCTTTCAACTTTGCATTCCTTCTTTACTTCCTTACAACGAATCCTCACTCTTGTGGTGCATATTTGACAGGTTTTCTGAATGCGCCAATACAATTTTAGCTCAAGACACAGTTACAGCACATAGCTTGTGTTCAGTCTTGGTTTGGTTGCTTAAACAGACACCAGCATTTCCCCGCACAGCAGAACACAAGGACTGTTATTTAACAGTCACTGGTTTTCTGCTTTTGTGCTTTCTTGCTTGTGTGTTCTAATAATTACATGTAATTAGATATTACTGTGTTGGAAATGTGGAAAACTGAAGCCTTTAATTCTCAGTTGATACCCAATAATTTTCTTCCAACAGCAGTTTAGTACAGATCAGATACACTATATCCTTCTCTTTAATTCAGAAAAGGGGTCTCCTATGTGAGCATCTTTTGAGGTCAGTTGGAATTTATAACCTCATTGTTCACTGTGAGCTCTGACATTGTCTTTTCATGATGTTGCTTCTTCTAGGTGCAGATACAGAACAAGAAGATTGACTTGAGCCACGTGACCTCCAAGTGTGGCTCTCTAGACAACATCCATCATCGGCCAGGTAACAGTCAGCCTGTTTTCTTTCAGGGGAAACTGAGGTGTAACGCTGGAGGTGGCAACGGCGAAGTAAAGGTTAGAAAACAATGCTCACGAGCAGAAGGTCGTCTGTGCGACCTCTAACCTTGCAAAATGAATTCATATGCATGATGTCCAGCACTCTTTAGCACTGCTTACATGCACTTGAGGTCTATTGCGCTGTTCAGGTCAGACTGTGGTTGTACCGGCAGGGGTGCAGTCAAGGTAGCCACGGCCACCCTGATAAAAGCTCCCCAGTGGCCCCCTTTCCTCGCAAAATGCAAAAAGAAAAAAAGAAGCTACATTTGTATTTGTCTGTGAATCAGATGTCATTTTCCAGATAATGTATCCGCATACAGGTCACATGATTAGACTTGAGACAGTAGTCACTCACAAAAATGTCTCACTGTAGCTGTTTATAAACTGGCAATAAAGTGCAATTTAATGCAATTTCAGTAACAACTGTAAATTGCAGTTTATATTTCACTCCTGAAATAACACTTCAGTCAGACGAAGCTGCTGCACTGATCTGTGGAAGCTAACAATAAACCTAATTTGGATTGACAGCTCGATGGATCTGTCCACAGGCGGCCGCATGTGGGAGGTGTTGTGATTCCTGGCGGCCTCGCTGAGTTCTGTGTGTTTCAATGCTGAGTGTGTGCGACGTGGCTGAACTTTTGATGAACTGGATTGGGTCAAACCTGGGGAGGGTTATACATCCAGTTTAAATTCTTCATTCGTATCACTGACAGTAAAATAACCAAAAACAGCATTTTCACAGTCAGAGTTTATGATCTAACATCTAACGCAGCTGGCTGTAAAACTTTACAGGGGTGCATAGTAGGCCCAGAAAAAGATACAGTCCACAGCAAGATTTGATGGTTGGAACTGGCCTTTTTTAATTCATTACCATTGTATGCGAGACAGGTGTCCAGTGAACTTGCTGTAGTTGCTGCTGTTAGGTGTAAAAACCCACCCACATGGGTTTGTGGTGACTACTTCAGGTCCTGCAGCTCCATCTGCTGGTCCCTTTCATTACAGAGGGCTTGCTGAGCATGCATGCTCTTTCACTACAGCATTACACATTCACTTTACCAATGAAATCTCTTTCAACAGACCATGTACAAGCAAAATGTTCAACCACCTAGACCCTTTTTTAACCTTTAGTCAGTTGCTACCACTGTTTGTAGCTAGGGAGGTATCTCAAATCTCAATTCTCTCTGTACAGTTTTCACACTTCCTTTACTTCTCCCCAGGGGGCGGTAACGTGCGTATAGAGAGTGTGAAGTTGGACTTTAAAGACAAAGCCCAAGCCAAGGTGGGTTCCCTGGATAATGCTCACCACATTCCTGGTGGAGGCCATTTTATGGTAAGTGTCAGCTCCATACTCCCCATCCATGATTTAAAGGAGAACAAGTTTTTGAGAGATTGTCTTAATAGTCAATTTAGATATCAAGAAACACTTAATTTATTCTTTCTTTCTGTAAAGACTTTTAAGTTGCCTTTATTTGTACATTTACTGTAAAGAGAATGTAGACAGAAGAATCATCCATGTGTCTATAAACATTACTGTTATCTTAGAAGATAGATACATAGTCTAATATGCTGTAGGGTAAAACTGGTAAAGTTTTAATGAAAGAAGTAATAGAAGTACATGAAATATATATAAACTGAGTGTTTCCAACAAGCCAATCTTCCAAAAACTTGTTGTATTCCTTTGTCAGCCTGAGTGGGTAGCAGTAAAGGTATAGTATGCGACACTATCAATAATTAATGTAGAAGTTAATCCAACTAACCCCAAGTTGTGTTCTTCAAATATTCAGTTAGGCTCTGAAGTCAACTCAGGACTAAGAGCAACAGCCTGGAACAGGAGTTTTTCAGTGTGCAGTTGTTCTTAAGCCGACTCACAAAGATACATATATAAATGATTCATTCTACATGTTATGAAAACGTATCTCTTCTTCCCCAACCACGTCTCATGTCACGCCACCTGCCTCTGTTAGATTGAGAGCCACAGGCTGATGTTTCGCGACCAGGCCAAGGCACGAGTGGACCACGGAGCCGAGATCATTGTCCAGTCGCCGGGCCTGTCCAGCTCTGTGTCTCCCCAACGCCATCGGGAGAGCCAACTATCATCCTCCGGCAGTCTCAACATTACAGAGTCGCCGCAGTTAGCAACCCTGGCTGAGGATGTCACTGCAGCTCTGGCCAAGCAGGGTCTGTGAACACTGGACCACTGGATCCCTGGACATCACTCGCCCTGATTCCTTCAAACTTTTCTGCCCACTCCTGCCACCCTGAGGCCAACCTCAGCTAAACCACAGCCTCTAAACATCTCCACTTCAAGATCCATCACTCCACTATAAGTAGAGACTCGAATTAGGAGCTACTGTACTTTGGTCCTCTTTATTTCCTGTCTATTTTAAACCCAAATGTGCTATTTCTGATTCATTTAGTTGACCTTTCTCTTTTTGAATGATGTTGCATAGAATAGTTCAGTCTGAGCACTGGTCCTCGATTAAGTGGTATATACTAAGTGGGGACCAGGTATTGGCTTGCCTGCTCCTGGTGTTTTGAAGAAGCTACAGCCTTTTTTTCTACATTAAATAAGAAGTAAAGTGGCCAGCACACCATGCAGCACGTGTTGTTCCTGCTCAGTAAACGTGCATGGACGCCAAACCCCCTAACAAACCGAGCATCCTTACTGCAAGTCATTTTTGTCATCCAATATATAATATATTTAACAAATATATAGAAACATGTATAAAAATACCAGTTCTTTGCCATCTACATGTCCTGAAAACATTTTAAAAGGAAGTGACAATATGGCTATAAAATATACCTGTAAAATTGCATTACGCAAAAACTAGGTCATGTTATGACAAGCATGTATTGATTCTAATATTAAAAGAGGCTATTTTGTAATCTTAAAAAAAGGATTTTAATAAGTTATTTCCTCAGTTATTGGGTAAAGATTAAACAAGTTCATGTTTTGTAGTTATTAGTTGTTTACAGTGTAATGCTTGGTGACAGTGTCAGACAGCTGATTTGGTGTTGCTAAGGAATGCATCTCAGTCCTGTTAAAGAGCGTCATACACATATACCTACTCAGTAGTTCAACACAGACTCCTGTTTATATATCAGGATAACATTAAACACTGGAGCTCATTTCACAAGCATCCATCCAAGAAGGAAACAGCCAAAAGAATCATGTCTCTACAGCTGCAGATATTCAGCTGACATGAATGAACAGTATGGACATTCCTCCGCTAACACAATGCTGAGTTTGCACTCATCAGGACTGTCTGAAGCGCAGGAGAAGGCGCTACAGATGCGACTTGAGATTTAGCAGAAGATGCAGCTATTCTGAAATCTGTCTGTGTGTGTGCGTTTTGGTGCAGATCCCATGCTGTTTTACGATGTATGCTGCCGTATCTGGGTGTTTTGTTGCAATATGTGGGAGACGAAAGTTGGAAAAAATATTTTGAAAAATCCATTAAAAAGACAATTCATGAAAGAAAAATAAAACAGCCGAGGTAACTCGGAACCTGTTACATCTGTTAGGAAAAAGTGTTTGGGTGATCTAGTTTCTTTTTCAGACTCCATTTGTGGTATATCCTGCCTCCTGCCTAATTACTGCCCTCACCTGCGACCGTTTGTTTGCTTCTGTGTTTTTTCTGCATAACCCATCTCCGTGTGACCCCTTCCCACCTCCTGCTCCACCCTACAGCAACTGTAAATGTACTTAAAAGGTCAAGTAGATGTACGCAGTTTTTTTCTTGTTGATATGACACCAATTACAATAATTAATGACAATAAAAAGGACAAAAAGTGATACTGGAGTACTGTCTTCTATTCAGAATACAAGACATACAGTTAATAGGAATTTGGTTTGAGGAAGTTTATAGGTGATCGACTGCTAGCTGTCGCTTCATATTTGATGGACGGAGTGGTATCAATGTTTTCATCCAACTCTCAGCAAGAAAGCAAATAAGTATGTTTCACAAAATTAAATTAAACTGCTCCTTTAACGTGCATCCAGCTGAATGAATCATGCAAATTATTTCAAATAGAGTCAAAAATTTGAAAATTAAATGGGAGTTTGTGAAAAGTTTATTGTGAAATGGCAGAGGGTACAATAAGTTAAGACCTAGGGATTGGTTGGATGTGGAGTGGATTCATTTTGATGGCCAGTCCTGGTCCAAACCAGCCACTTCACTGGCAGATGGAGAGCCATCCAGACAGAAAGTGAAGGGAGGGGGATTGTCATCATTATCCCACCTTCCCTTCCATCACCGTTCCACTGAAAACCAGTGATGATTTAAAAGAAAAAAAAGCCCAATGAGACAGGGGTACTTTGGGTGAAAATGAGGAAAGAAACAGCTTGTTGGAAATAAGGACGGTTCCCGAACAGGAGGAGGAGAGGGGGGAGAAAAAAAAGCACCAGTTGGACAAAAGAAAAAAAAGTTTTGAATAAAACAAAAGAAGGGTTCAGGAAATGACATCTCATAGTCCTTTGTTCCCCCTGCTTCCTCAGGTGGTACAGGAAACAGTGAGTGGATGTCGCGACACCATGGGGTCTGCACAAATACGATGCTCACCACCGCAGTGGCAGGGTCCTTACACAGACATGATGTGCTTGACAAAGGCTGCAGATGGAGACCAGGGCACCACACAGAGAGGACAGGAGAGAGGGTAAAATGAGTGAGTGAGGAAAGGAATAAGAAAAGAATCCAATAAAGTGGGTTAAAGGGCTTGTTAGGCTTGAAAGTCACAACTATAAATAACATAGAACAGTTGGGAAATTGGCTACAACACATTAAAATGTTTTTGGGCTGGTGTATTCACTTTTTTGGAATATCTGTGGAAAGTGGGAATTTCTGTGTTAAATAAGCATTTAAAGGGGCACTCCAGCAATTTTGTAACACACTGCCATAAAAATGGAGGTCATATGGGGCAGATTACAGAAGCACGGTCAAAATCGAAGCAGCAACGATCGAGATATCCTGACTGTGGTCGAGATATGATCCTAGTAGTCCCTTATGATGGTAACACCAGGGTTACTTTTTCCCTCCAGAGCCAAAAAAGACAGAGAACTTTCCTTTTTCACAGTACTTGTCAGTAATCATTTTTTATGTTTAATAATGGTGTAAATAATGTTTACATGAGCATTTTACTAGTCATAATGTTGTAATTTCTGGCTCACCCTCATAGTTGACACAGCCGTTCTCATCCTCCTGTCCTGCCATGAGAGCATCGATCTCAGCCTCAGTCATCTTCTCTCCTGTAGGGGGAGGCAGAGGAGCATGAGTTAACAACACACACACACACACACACACACACACACACACACATACACAGAAATACACCACCAGTGCCCTGGCCTGACTCACCCAGTGTTGACAGAACAATACGCAGCTCAGCACCCATCACTGTGCCGTTGCCCTCCTTGTCGAAGACGCGCAGACCCTCAACGTAGTCCTCGAATCCGGCCTTGTTTGGGCTGTTGATGATGGTCTGGAGCATGGGCAGGAAACCCTCGAAGTCTACTCTCTTGCTGGCCATGTCTGCATGAAAGGAGACAGAGATGACATCCAGAGGTGGGCAAGCCAGGTAGGTGTGAGACAAAAGGCACCAATAATCCTTGTCATCACATTTTCTGCACCTCTAATTTAGTATATTCACCTTTCTGAAAAAGTGCAGTATTGGACTGATACATGTTGTGTTTTTTTGTTTCACATATAATCATATTGGGTATTTTGCAGACTTGCTACAATCTTGACCGTGTCGCAGTGCTGAGTGAGGTGAAGTCCTGGTTTTGTCAGTAATGACTGAGCATGGTGTTGCTATTTTGGTTTTACGCCTGCATCATCACCTGTCTGCACAGACTAGATCAATTCCCTGCTTTTTTCACAATATGATCAAGCAATATGTGTGATTAAAAACCTTGACCAAATATAAAGTACAAAGAGCAACATCAGATCCTTTCTTGAATAGAAGAAAAGCATTGTTGCCCTGACCTCTTAGGCCTGCAACTATTTACTCAACTATTTACTCTAATATACAGTTCATTTAAAGGTAAACATTTTTGTCCCTACTATATTTGCTTCATTTCTGAGACAATTTTGTGGCAGATCTGCTACATGTGTTCTCTCAATAACAATTTTCAAAGGAGAGGACAACAGCTGATTTGACTGAACATGACTGACTCCAGCCACAAAAGCAGCCACAAATAATTTCTTCCTCATAATCCATATCCGCTTTAAAGTTGCAGTGTGTGCCTCTTTTATAAATTATACCTGAAAAGCATAACACCATGCACACCGGTGATGAATGTAAACAGAGCTGTACATTACTGGTTACCACACACACTCAGACAAATCTGCCATATGAACATCTGATCTGTTTTAATCATTTTTATTTCAAAGTGCTGCTAGTAATGACTAAAATGCACACTGCAAATTATACTGATTTTTTTCACTCCCTAAAAAATCATCAGTTATATATTGTGACTAACAGGACTTGAAGTGGTATTTTGTATGTCCAGTAGTGTGCAGTAGCCTAACAGTCACTATAACAAATAGTGCAAAACATCCAAAAGTAGCTTAAAATTGCATAACATTACTATCTAATTCAATGATAGAACAAATGCTAAATATCTCTTACCATCATTGGAGGGGTTTCCCAGCAGTTTGGCCACTTCCTTGTTGGTGGGGTTCTGTCCCAGAGCGCGCATGATGTCAGCGATCTGGTTGTAAGCCACCTTGCTATCACCCACCCTGTCGAACAGACCAAAGGCCTCCCTGTAGTCTGCAGAGTGGAGGGAGAAGAGGATATCATCACCTCAATGAATCCAATCTGATCTGATTTCTGTTTGTACGTGAATAATGACTAAACTGTACTTAGTGGTATCATCATTCTTTACATTATTTTTTTATATTATATGCTAAGCTGCAGTAGTATTGTATCCATCATGGTAATTTCTTTAGAAAGTGATTGTTCCTGTAGTAAATTTTAAATGACTTACTTAGGTTTTATTTGTGTGGTGTTATAAATTATAGTGTTGAAAACAATAATTGTTATTTAAAAAAGGAAATTGTTATTTAAAAAAGGATTTTTATTAAAAATTTATTTATATTTATTCATTTTATTATATTAATGTACTGTGCTAGAGTTCATCTGCAGATCCAAATATAAGTAGTGAAGCAGCATTTTACATTTAATTGCATTAAACCTTATTTACACTTTATGTTTTTCTTATTTATGTGTCTTAAAATATTCTTATATAAATATATTACATGTAATATATAATATATATGTAATATATGATATAAATAAATATTCTAATCTAATTTTTATTTTCCTAAAAAGTCACATTATGTTGAGGTTTAATAATTAACATTGTTAAAGGTACAATGCTAAAATGTATTTTTTAATATTAAATATATATCTCTGCATTCTCTATAGCAGTGGTCCTGCTGACATAAATTAGACCATGGACCCCATTTGTCCCAGAATCGCTCATCTGATAGGATTTTGGCTTTTAGATGTTTTATTCCAGAAAGTGTATGAAATCCATGACCAAAATAGCCATGTGTTCTGTCACTATTTTACTTATGGATGGAATTATAGTGAAAATAAATGATTCCCATTTTTGCTGGGGACCCCCTGGAACCTCCTGAAGGACCCCCTATAGTGTGTGGAAAATGCTTTTTACACACACTATAGTGCAGAACTGGAGACAATGTTTTGCATTTCAAGTGTAGCTGTGGCTGTTGCAAGCCTCCAGTGGGTGGAGACAGCTCCACAAACTGACAATGGAAATTTATAACAAGGGCAAGACACCTCTGTAGGTTGTGGTACTAAAGAATGAGTGGACTGACTGCTGTTGAGTTCTGTCACCCTTCATGCTATTTCTATCTCAGCTGTCTCTTCTCTCTCTCTCTTTTCCCCTCTCTCAGCTGGTCCACTGGCCCTTTTAAAAGACCACCTTGGAATTGACAAACATAGCTGAGAATATGAGCTCCCTCCTTTTAAAGGCAGGGCCCTCTGTGGTTGAGCTGAGTAAAAGTAGGGAATGCTGACTGCAGTGTAACCAGCAGCCAGCCAGGCGACAGGTCTGGTTCAATGGTGTCCAATCCAGGGTAAAAAAGGACCCAACAGCACACCTGTTTTTCTTAATTTCACTTAACTAGTCTTCTGAACTACCTATCTGTAATCCCTGTAAAGAGCTGCTGAAATATTTGACTGCTGTGAAAACATGTAGCTTCTTGGCACATGATTTGATATCCCTGATCTAGTGACACAGAGTCTCCAACAATGGCCCAATAAACAATCTGCAGTTAATATCAGGACACAGGGATTAACTAAATCGATTTGTGACACTTCAGTAATTATATGAAGCTTTCTAGATCAGGAGTCTCCAGCTATGGTTAATATGTGATATATTAATATAAAAACAACTAATATAATTGAAAATAAAAAAACAGGTGACCATCACCTGCTGCATACATTCTTCATTTAAAAAAATATATAACTAGCAATGCATTTAGCCAAGAAACTATGATTCTGTTTAAAATACCACCACATTGTGGATGTTTTCTTTGGAGTAACATTGGAGTATGTATTTGCTTCAACCAAGCTGTTAAAAACACACTTGTTTTTATTTCATGTGACATTTTAAAGTTGACTTAAAATGTACTGGACACCTGGACACGTGGTTTCTTAGCTTCATAGCCAATATCAGATTTTACAAAATACCTGCTGTTCTGGATGGTCAAAACACAAAAATTACCCACCATACTATTTTCAGCCCAGTGACAAATCTCTACATAG